GGCCGGGCCGGGCCGGGCCGGGCCGGGCCTGCGTGCGTGCGGGCGTGCGTGCGCGCGCGGGGGAGGGCAAACGAAACATCCATCCGTCCCCAATCCCATCCATCCATCCATCCATGCATTCATCCATCCAGCCGTCCATCCAGCCGTCCCTCCAGCCGTCTCTCCATCCACCAGCCATGCATCATCGCGCATGGCTCGGTTTTTCCTGAGGGGCTTTTGCTGGCACGCGAGGCCGGTGCGCGGAGCGTGAAAATACACATTGAATCCTTGAATTCCCCTGTCATTGCCGCTGAAGCAAGTTGTCTGTTTCCACCAGTTCGTTCGGGCAACCCCACGTCCAAACCGCCACGTGATTGGGCATCATGGGCGCTCCTGCAGCTGGTTTACTTTTCGCAGTCGCCCAGGAGGGGCCCACAAGGCGATCCGCCCGTCCGTGGAGCATGTCACCTTGAAAACGGGGGCCAAGCCAAAAGCAGCCCAAAGCAGCCCAAAAGCAGCCCAAAGCAGCAAGCACAACGAGGCATTCAGCTGGGCGCCAGTAGCCGCTTCTTGCCACGACCTTTGCCTGGCTGGCTGAACCAGCGCACTTGCCTCACCCACCTCGGCTGCTTCGAATGGGAAAACGTGCCAGGAATCTCGAGCGTCCCACGATTCGTGGGCGCGGAAGACGGCCAAGAGGCAGGGCGACTGAATGCTCGAAACATTCCACACCTGTGCACACAAACAGCCTAACATGACACTAAAGGAATGCTCGCGCCCGCACGGTGCAGTCGGCCGAACCAGAGGCCAGTAGGCAAGCATCACGGGAAAACTCCAGAAACCAAACCTGAGGAAAACGCAAAGAATGCAAAGGCACCCCAAACATGCCAGTAAGGCTCAGAATTGTCTGTGAGGATCTGAGCTGCAAGCGGCTTTGGAGTGCCCGGAGCTGAGCTTCTGGTGACCTTGGCCGAAAATGTTTCAAGCAATTTTGAACCCATGTTCGACCCTTGCCTGCGATGTCTGCCTGGCCTGGCAGGGTGTCCAAGCCTTACCACCTCTCACTCTCTACTTGCCTTGCTGGAAGTCCGGCTTGAAGTTCCAGATCCGTACTTGGCCTTCCTGGGCTTGGGGCAGGCACGAGCTCCCAGGTGCTGCCCAGCCTCATTCCCGACCGCTGCAATCGCGGGATAGACAGGGTGACAAGCGAGGCTCAATACAGCACCCCCTTCGCCACCTTCACATCCAGTGAAGACCGAATCGTAGCACATCGTAACTGGGTCGGGCCTCCGAACTTCCCACCGAGAACCATTTCGTCGTCCTCCCTCTTCACATACCAGGAAGCCACCGATCCATCTGCGCCGACGGACAGCGCCTCCAAGCCGGGATTCAGGATGACTGCAAGGTGTTCAGGGTGGTTCCAGAAGTTCACAGCTCAACAAAGAACCCTGTTCCAGAAGTTAAGGAAAACGGGGGCGGGCCAGCAAAGGATCCGCCAGAGAAAAGGCCACGCTGTGGACCTGAAGGTCCGAAGCGAGCATGTGAGCAACGTGAAGTGACCTGCAAGAAATCAAATGGAAAGCTGGGGCGAGCACGGCACCATCGTGCGCAGCCCACGACTTGATGGGGATGGCATTCTCCGCTTCCCATAGAAACTGGCAGCACAAACGAAGTAACCTAACTTAGGTGACAAGAGTGCCAGGCGCGCCAGTTGACCATCCTGATCTCCAGAGATCAGGTACCCAGCGAAGGAAAAGCTCAAGGACCTGAAGAAAGACGTGACTATTCCACAAGGAAAGCGAACGTCTGGCCTAATGGCAGCTTCATGACTGCGAAGCACCCCCACAGGACTCCCATCTTGAGTGTCCTAAGTCCGGATAAATAGAAACGCCACGCTTTCAGAACCAATCTGTTACAATCTTCACTCGCGAGGCCGACCCATAGGCGGATTGTCTTGTCGCTGCTCCCAGACGCCAAGGTGGTCCTTTTTGCGCTCAAAATGAAGCACGCTTGCACAGTTGCTTTGAGGCAACAGCTCGTTGGTTGAGAACTTCACTTCCCAGACTTGGTCGGAGTGGCCCTTCAAAGAGACCTGCGGAGCTCAAGCTCAAGGCAATGTCAGCCAAGCGTCGAGTGCCTAGCATATGCGTCACACATGCGACTATGCCTTCAACTCCACGGTCTCCAAATCCCAGAGATGCACCTAGCACGCCAACCATACTAGTAGAATCACTGCTTGCGGAGCCTCATGGTCTGCCGTTGCTGCAGCCAGCACCATGTTCACCTGCTCGGACAGAAACTGTCAAGTTTTGCGTCTGCGTCTTGCCATGACTATCACCGCTTCAACATTATCGACTTACACCCAGCCTCAGCGACAGCTACAGCCCACACTGGACGAGTGGCTCCGGACTGCACGCGAAACTTGTCGAACCGCCTGTGGTGCGCATACCTGGCAAGCTCGAAGCTTGAAGCTCGAAGCTCCGGCACCGTGACCCGGCCTGTCTGGGTTGTCCGGCACCAGGCTGCAGACTTTGATGTAATTCCGGTCCTCGTGGGTCGACAGGTCGGCGTAGATCTCCCGAGCCTTGGCCGCGCGCACCGGGCCGGGCCACAGGGCCGCCAGGGGCCGCCAGGCCTCTGACGCCAGAGGCCCCGACTCGTCGCGCAGCCTGGCCATTGCCCATGCCGCTCGCCGGTGCTACGCCATCTAAGCCATCGGGCTAGCTGGAGACTTGCGAAGCCGTGCTTCGAAGCTGCAGCCCCAGGGCATTCGACGCAGAGACACGCGCACGCCTTTTTCAAATGGGCGAAAGCGAACTGATGTGCGCAAAGATCTGCGAGATCTTGGGTATCATCTACGTCCAGGCAGACCTGCCGGTGGGCAAGCGGCATCGGGCGTCGCGCACACCAAGCGCTCAGGGCCTTCCAGCCGCGGCCCCGTCCAACTTTGGGACGCCTCGATATTTGATGTCAGATCAGCAATGTTGCTGGCTGGCCCGAATGGGCCGGCTGCAACAAGACAAACAACTGCACTGCACCTGTAGAGTAGCAGCCAAAGCCTCAACGTCGCCCAACCCTCACCCTTTGCACACGCTCTCGACTCCACAATGCGCAGCCCATGCGCAGCCCATGGGAATCTCAACGCATGCAGCGTGCAGTCCTGTAGGCAGCGCAGGACGGCATTGGGATTGCTCGGCTCTGGCCTCGGCTGACATCTCGAACATCGCGTATTGAGGCCCGATTCTGCAAATTCGAGAATGCTCAGGCTGAAGCGTCAAATCAGGCGGTGAGAACAGGGACACCTTCCACTCTCCATTCTTGCACTGGTGCTGCTTAAAACTTGTAACGCCAGAGCCTTGTTGACGCCAAGTGCTGTGCAAGCCTCGCATGCCGCTCGCACGTCCGAGCGAGACTCCGAATTTGCGCCAAGTTCTCAAGTTCTCGCCTTGAGAAATTGTGCGATCCGTCCAAGTGCCACAGGGTTTGCCTGAGCATTACACATGTCACGCTCTCCAGCTGTCCAGACGCCGCCTTGGGCAAAACATCCGGCCGCACCTCACATCCAGCACTGCACGCTTGGCCTTTCGTCTTTGAGCTCCCGGCCGAGATCACCAGGGCACACAGAAGCTGTCCATCACAAAGATCGCGGATAGAGAGTTTCTCTGCATCCAGGGCACCTGCCAGGCACAGAAAGCACAGAAAGCACAGAATACATGAATGTCAAGCAGGCCGGTGCCTACGGGCAGCAGCCCTCGAATTTGCCGCGCTTGTGACGGCGGCGGGGGCGCCTTCGGCCATAAAACCTCCTTACAAAGCTTCCCTGTTTGGACCGCGCCTGCAGGCGCTCATTGACAACAGCACAAAGCCAAGCCAGCGCAGGCCTGACGACCGACTCGACTCGACTCGACAAAGTTGAACTTCCGCATCGCCTCCAAGGCTCCGTCGGCGTCGAGGCTCGCCTCAGGCCTGTCACTGATCGAAAACGCAAAGGGGTCGCCAGAGGGGCAAGTCACCGAGAGTCGGGAAACAGGTTGGACGAAGAACTGGTTTTTCGAGTCAAGAAACATGGAGATGTGGCTTCTTGAGTCCGGAAAAGGCCCGGCAACAATAGACCAGGCGGAACAGTGCGTGCGCTTCCAGGACATGTTTTGAGTCAAGAGCCAATTTGAATCTCCGAGTCAATCTGGAAACAACAGAATAATGCGTCGGGGTCTTGGGAATTTGTTTGGAGTCAAGCTTGTGAGCCAGGAAGCAGCGGTGAGTCGGGAACGTCCATCCATCCATCCATGCACCCAATCCATACCAACCCGCGATCCCCATCCATCCATCCATCCATCCATCAATCCATCCATCCAGATCCGTCCATCCACCTATCCATCTGTCCATCCGCCATGCGTCGCGTCCATCCATCCATCTATCCCGCATGCGAGGCCGCGCGCGGAACAGTTGTTGAATATGCACATATAGCACCTCGGAAGCACTCGGCATTGAACACAGTCAATGCCTATGTCTTGTTGCGCATGGTGTGACAGACATGGGCATCTCGCAGCTTTGCTATCTTTCGTTTGCCACACATTTGCTAAAATATGTGCCCGGCATGGTGCAAGCTGGATAGACAAATGCCAAGTTGTTCCGAATGAGCTGGAAAATCATACGATCATCCTTGATAGATGGCTAGACACTGGCAATAAGCTGCACATCATCAAGCCAAGCTAGACACAATCTAGAGATTTACAACGCAAATACGGATGCACTTGAAACATGACCATCGTAGAAACCCGATGGAATAACTGCAGATATCGCTGCCATAAGCTGGACACATGCTACACATATGACAGGTTTCTGCCAGGCAAATGGTAGGCTTCTGATTGACATGGGTGTGACTGTCCAAGGAAGACATGTTCTACAATGTATGCTAGAACACGCCAAACATATGCAAAATCTGCTACAACCCTGCGTCAGGAAATATGCTAGGCAAATGTCCGTGGCGAATGATATAGACTAGAAATATGCTGACCAGCTGCCGACGCGACAAACTAGCTGGATCAAAATGCTAAACATGTGCTAAACACAAGCATTGAACATGTGCTTCAGCAACATGCCCTTTATGATTGCACATTGCTGTGGCAGACATGCATTGCTCTCTGAGGCAAGCTGCCCAAATCTGGGCTGGCATGGGTCTCGACCTCATCATCTGTCTCCTCCTTAGACAACAAAGAACACACGACCAAAGCTCACATGCAAAGCATCCAAACCAGCCTCAGACTCTTCCGATTCTTCGTCTATCTCGTCAACCTGAACCCGGCTGGGAGCTTGAAATGGAGGTGAGATGGAAGGGCCGGTTGCCCCCGGTTGCCCGCTCGCTATGCTGTCTTGCGCTGCAGAGAGCTGCGCGTCCTCTGCTTTGGCTGACACAGACGTAGCCCTGAACGCTTCATGCAGGCGTTGCCAAGATTGGGCTGGCAACGTGCGGAAGTCGCAAGCAGCAAAGTCAACTGCGGAGCTTCTGCCAGGTTTTGCGGACTGTGTGTCCTCTGCTTTGGCTGACACAGACGTAGCCCTGAACGCTTCATGCAGGCGTTGCCAAGATTGGGCTGGCAACGTGCGGAAGTCGCAAGCAGCAAAGTCAACTGCGGAGCTTCTGCCAGGTTTTGCGGACTGCGCGTCCTCTGCTTTGGCTGACACAGACGTAGCCCTGAACGCTTCATGCAGGCGTTGCCAAGATTGGGCTGGCAACGTGCGGAAGTCGCAAGCAGCAAAGTCAACTGCGGAGCTTCTGCCAGGTTTTGCGGGCTGTGTGTCCTCTGCTTTGGCTGACATGGACGTAGCCCTGAACGCTTCATGCAGCCGTTGCCAAGATTGGGCTGGCAACGTGCGGAAGTCGCAAGCAGCAAAGTCAACTGCGGAGCTTCTGCCAGGTTTTGCGGGCTGTGTGTCCTCTGCTTTGGCTGACATGGACGTAGCCCTGAACGCTTCATGCAGGCGTTGCCAAGATTGGGCTGGCAACGTGCGGAAGTCGCAAGCAGCAAAGTCAACTGCAGAGCTTCTGCCAGGTTTTGCGGACTGTGTGTCCTCTGCTTTGGCTGACACAGACGTAGCCCTGAACGCTTCATGCAGGCGTTGCCAAGATTGGGCTGGCAACGTGCGGAAGTCGCAAGCAGCAAAGTCAACTGCGGAGCTTCTGCCAGGTTTTGCGGGCTGCGCGTCCTCTGCTTTGGCTGACACAGACGTAGCCCTGAACGCTTCATGCAGGCGTTGCCAAGATTGGGCTGGCAACGTGCGGAAGTCGCAAGCAGCAAAGTCAACTGCGGAGCTTCTGCCAGGTTTTGCGGGCTGCGCGTTCTCTGCTTTGGCTGACACAGACGTAGCCCTGAACGCTTCATGCAGGCGTTGCCAAGATTGGGCTGGCAACGTGCGGAAGTCGCAAGCAGCAAAGTCAACTGCGGAGCTTCTGCCAGGTTTTGCGGACTGTGTGTCCTCTGCTTTGGCTGTCGCAAGCAGCAAAGTCAACTGCGGAGCTTCTGCCAGGTTTTGCGGACTGTGTGTCCTCTGCTTTGGCTGACACAGACGTAGCCCTGAACGCTTCATGCAGGCGTTGCCAAGATTGGGCTGGCAACGTGCGGAAGTCGCAAGCAGCAAAGTCAACTGCGGAGCTTCTGCCAGGTTTTGCGGACTGTGTGTCCTCTGCTTTGGCTGCCACAGAGCTGTGGGTTACTCCTTTCAGCGTTTTTGTGGGAGGGATTGCTAACTGTTTTGCATCGGCGTTTGTGGCTTTCCAACCTCTGGCCGCGGATGCTTCGTCCGCCGTGGCGGGGGTTGAAGTCTTTGGAGGCTCAATGGATGTGGCATATGTGGCGCTGGCTTCTGGCTTGGCCAGCTCCTCAAGACCTCGCTCATGGACATAGACATGGATGCTTCGCATTGGTCAAGCCCGCGGCAGGCCAGGGCAGCCTGCTTGCCGCGTTCTCGCGCCAGATCCATGGCGAACATCTTTGACCTGTGGAGCTTGTGCTCTCGCGCCGTTGCCAAGCAACCAGTCGAGCACCCCACTTATTCCTGGCACCCAGTACGTCGACGCCCGCAGCCACAAGCTCGCGAATCTCCGAGGGCCATACAAAACGGAGGGAAACCAAAGTATCTAAGCTCTCGCACCTGCGCAGCGTCATCCTTCATGACTGCACGAAAAAGATCCTGCACCTGCACCCAGGTCTATCACTGCACATTCAATGCCCCCAATGCCCTGCCTTGTCATCTGGCCTCAGGACTTTCCGAAGAAAGTGAAAGATCATAGCTTTGGACTCTGAGCACCGTGCGTGGGCTCTGCCTTCGGCTCTGCCTTCGGCTTTGCCGCCGTGCCCGCCGTGCCCAAGGTGCCCGCCGTCCTGTTGGAGCGCCTGACAGCTCCAAACCCCACAGCTTCCAGCCCCGTGCCCAAGCTTGCGGCACGCCGCTCTCGAGGAAGGCCTTCACCTAGAAGTCTCAAAGACTGCGAGATGGGATGGGTGCCAGTGAAGGGCCCGCTCCTCTTTGCGCCCGCGCTCACGCGCCAACTGAAGTGGTCTGAGCACGCTTTGTGCCACAACACACGATTCAACAAATGATCTAGCGCTATCTGCGAGCATCTGAGCTCGGAGCGTCTGCTGCGCGGAATTCCTCACCACCAATACATCGATGCCAGACCTGAGTCAACTCAATCACTTTCCACAGGCAACATAAGAGCCCAACATGCCAAGAGGCTCATGGATCCGCTTCACACTCTCCACATCGTCACGAATCACCGCCTCACACACTGGCGATGTAGGAGCAAAGGAGACGACGAAGACTCGTGGCAAACAGCAGAATACTCAAAGACCCCACACGGTTGAGCAACCTACGGATGTGAAGCTGAATCACGGGATCCCAATAAGGCATTTGCTTTGTGACCTAACCTTGCAAGCTTTCGCTTGACAACTCTCAAGATGTGTCGCCCTGTTGTCGGCAGCCTGTGTTTGAATCAGACTCCAGAGAGAAAAAGCCCCTCATCTGCAGGCTACGCTGTTTACCCTTGCCCTGACAACCTGTCGTTTCATTGAATTTGCAGTCAAATCCTACAACGCAAAGCAGACCTCTTGGGTCGCAACACGGAAGAGCTCCTTGACCAGTTCTTGCGGGTCCTGAGCCTCATTTTCCATGGCCTCGGCCATTCTGTCTGATGTCCTCTTCTGACTTCACACGTGCTCCATCTTGCCGCTTCTCTTTGTGCACCAAGCCCTGTGCCCAGATTACGCCATAGGGGTGAGCTAATAGTCCAAATGCGCTAGACTGGAACAGCCGTTCAGGATTGGGAGGCTGACGTGATGGGCCCTCAATGCTTGGCCTCTTGAGATGTTCTGCCTCCCTTTGCATATTCTTTCTCTGACACAGCTTGTGCTGACCCAACGCAAAGAGCAACTCACCAGGTCCTGCAGTTTTGCGATGACAACAAAATGTGAGCTTGAGCCTCAACATGAGGGGTATGCTCTTGACACTGGGACGTGCATCGCAAGTCAGTGCCTTGCCAGCCACTCTGCTTGCTTATATGCTCTACAATAGACCGCGTAGGGAGCCCAAAGCAATCTCAACTCCAAATGTCCTCTGCGGAGAAACGGGTGGGAAGGTGTTCATGGTTGATTGGCGACAGCGATGGAAAAATGTTGCGACGCTTAGGCTGTCAAAGGAAGGAGATGCTGTCCCCCAGGAGCCAGCACCCCAATGCCCTCCCCCCTTAAAGAAGGAATAGCATGTCACCGGGCAGTGGTGTTGGGGGTCCAGGCTGGGCCAGAATTCGAAAAGAAACCTCAAAAAGGAACATGTTGAAATAGACAACTCAAAGGAGAAGCTCCAGGCCGATCAGAATTTGAAGAGAAAGCTTGAAGCAAAACTCCTAGATCATTCTTGAATTGTAAACTCCTCGGCCAGGATCAAAAGACAATACAAATATCATGGTTGAATCAAAAACAAGAAGGGCTCACAAGCCAGAACTGGGAAAAAGGCTGCAAACTAATGCTTGAATAGGACAAAAATTGGTCCCAGACCATAAGTTGGAGTGAAACCTTCAAAATGAGCTTTGTTGGATGGAAAAATCAGAATCAGAAGGAAAGTCTCCCAATCCAGAATTGGGAAAAGCTAGCTTAACAGTCTTAAACGTAATCATTGTGAAAAGGAAGCAAAATTGAATATGGAAGACTACAGGGAAGACTACCCGGAAGACTACGCGGGGTAGACTGGAGGAATACTGAAGACTACTTTTTCAGATTATTGACTCCTACGAATTCTCTTCTTTGAAGTACGTTCTTCGAATTCAAGCCTGGGAGTTATCCTTGCGCGTGCGTCATTTGTTCAATTCTCTGGCTTTAAACATATATGATCAGGGCCTCAACTCCATGACCTTTGCCCCGGCATTGCGAGGGGGCAAGTCGATCTCTGCAGCGGCACAGACGTTGGAGAGCCCACCAAGCGTCGGAGAGCACAGGGGCTCTCAGGATGAAGGCTGACTAGAAGGGGCGTGGCGGTGCAGAGTTCGCAAAATCAGAGTTCGCACCCAACAGGCCAAGAAGCCAGCCAACCAAGAGCGCTTCGCACGGGCCTCGGCCCACCCACGGCAGAGCCAGACAGCGAAGAAGAGAAGTCCGCCGACCCCTTCTCCTAAGGGGCGGCGAACGGGAAGCATGGCGACAAGATCGTCATGATGATGGTCATCATCATCTCGTTTTGTTCGACTTCAGTTGTAGCTCCGATTTGAGATGCACAAAGGCGTGGACATGCTAAGCAAAAGATGCGTGGACATGCTTATCATGATGACTCCTGGTGATGCTCAGGATGCATCATGATGCTGATCTTCCGATTCGCCATCAATATCGTCATGATCATCATCGTAGTCATCAGTCTCTTTCTATACTACACATTTCAAGTGTGGCGTTTGACACCACCAATATCCTCAGCATGATCGAGTCATCAGCATCTCTTTCTATTCTACACTATACATTTCAAGTGTGGCGTTAGACACTGTTGCTCATGCAAAGGCTGCGTAGCCATGATTATCATCATGAGTGCTGGTGATGCTGAGGATGCGAATGCGCCGCGATGACTATCAGCCGAATTGAAATGCAAAAGATGCGTGGACATGATTATCATCATAATTGCTGGACTTGCTGGACTGTTACATGATTAACATGATAACTGCTGGGCAATTATCATCACAGTCATCATCCTTGTCACCTCATCGTCAATATCATCATCATCATCGTAGTCATCACCATCTCTTTCTACACTTTACATTTCAAGTGTCATTGGTGATGCAGAGGATGCGTAGTCATGATTGTCATGATGAGTGCTGGCGATGCTGAGGATGCGTCATGATGATTATCATCCGATTAGAGATGCAAAAGACGCATGGACATGGTTATCATGATGACTGCTGGTGATGCTCAGGATGCGTCATAACGATTACCAGCCGAATTGAAATGCTACAGACGCGCGTACATGATGATCATGATGATTGCTGGACTGTTACATGATTATCATGATGACTGCCCTGGACTGTTACATGATTATCATGATGACTGCTGGGCAATTATCATCACAGTCATCATCCTTGTCACCTCATCGTCAATATCATCATCATCATCATTATCGTCACCATATCCTTGTAGACTATGCATTTCAAGTGTGGCGTTTGAGACCATTGGTGTTGCAGAGGATGCGTTGTCGATTGTCATGATGACTGCTGGCGATGCTGAGGATGCGTCATGATGATTATCATCCTAGCTGAAGTGCAAAAGATGCGTGCACACGCTTATCATGATGACTGCTGGTGATGCTCAGGATGCGTCATGATGCTGATCTTCCGATTTGTCATCAATCTCGTCATCATCATCATCTTAGTCATCAGCATCTCTTTCTATCCCCCTCGTCGTCAATATCATCATCATCATGTTAGTCATCACCATCTCTTTCTATACTATACATTTCAAGTGTGGCGTTACGAGACCATTCGTGATGCAGAGGATGCGTTGTCTTGATTGCTGCTGGCGATGCTGAGGATGCGTCACAATGATTCCGCGTCCTAATGGAAATGCAAAAGATGCGTGGACATGCTTATCGTGATGACTGCTGGTGATGCTCAGGATGCGTCATGCTGCTAATCTTCCGATTCTTCAGCAATCTTGTCATCATCATCATCGTAGACATCAGCATCTCTTTCTATTTCTATACTATACATTTCAAGTGTGGCGTTAGGCACCGTTGGTGATGCAGAGGATGCGTAGTCAGGATTATCATCATGACTGCTGGCGAATGCGCCGTAGTTATTGATGCAGATAATGCTGGTGATGCGGGTGATGCTGGGGATGTTGTCCAGGGACATGTGGGAAAAGGAAGAGAAATGTGGATAGAAAAGATGGAAAATGTAGGGAAAGTGGATGGACAATTCACGAATGGATGGAATGAACTGGAAACAGGGTGGACAAAAGGATGCAAAGTTAGCATGTATGGAAACTGAATTCATTGAAAATTGCTGGAAAATGTGCCAAGAAGGGAAATGGACATGGATTTAAAGTTAGCGGAAAATGAAGGGAAAGGGGTGGATGGAAGATGTGTGGAAAATTGATTGAAGACGGAGAGAGAATTGAGGGAAAATGGATGGACAATTCATGAAAAATGAATGGACAAAACGAAATCGAAACAGGATGGACAAAAGGATGCAAAATTGATGGAACATGTGTGGCAACTGAAAACTGATGGAACATGTATGGAAACTGGCTGGGGAATTCATGGAAAATTGCTGGAAAATGGGCCAAGAAGGGAAATGAAGGGACATGGATGAACAATTAGCGGAAAATGGAGGGAAAAGGGATGGATGGAAAATGTGTGGACAATTGATGGAAAGTTCCTGGAAATGCAAATGTGTGGAACTGTCATGGAAAATTCTTGGAAAATTGAAGAAAAAATCGATGGAAAATGGATGGAACCTGGGTTGAAAACGGATTGAAAGCGGATGGACAAGAGCTGGAAAAACTCTTTAAAATCTTATATTCCCTGAAATCCTACAATCTTAAATCGTAAATCTTGAAGTCTTAAAACTTCAAAACTCTTAAAATCTTGAAAATACTAAAGTCTTAGAACCTTGGGTAGTAGGTGGGTGGGTGGGCGCAGGA